ATGGATATTGTTACAGGAAATATCCAGGGTTTTTTCAATACAATAAAAAGTTGGTTCAATTATCATTTTCTGTTTTCTGGCTTTTCAATACATTTATAACAGTGAGTCACTGATGTTTGTCATAACATTTAGAGAGTGCAAAATCTTAAAATGCTTTCTGAATAGCCAGAAGAAGTGTTCAGTTATGCGAACAGGATCTTAATGTTGAATTATGTTTTTCCACAGACTTCTCATTATGAGAATGCTCATGTATCTGAAACGTTGAAATATCAGAATGAATGCTAATATACTACAGTAATTGTTTATTTTTGCCATATTTGATTTTCCTCTCTGCCCCAATCTGTGCATACACATACAATTTTTGTTGTTGTTGTTTAACTATTTGAAAGTAAATTGCAGATTTTATGATGCTGGCTGATACGTAATTTAATGCATTCCAGTTCTTTGAAACATAGCTCTCTATATATTAAACTCATGATGCTATACCCATTTATAAAATAAATATTAACTTAAAATGTCTCATATTATAATTACCTGTTAATTTATCACAATGATATTAAGACAGATATTAAGACTAGATATTAAGACAACCTTAATATCTAGTTGTCTAAACATGACAATTCACTTTATGTTAATTGTCAGTGTTGACTGTGTCCTGCACCCGACCACCATAAGAGCTGGTGCCTTAGTCTGTATTCCTATGGATAAGTCAGACCATTCATCTATTAAAACCCAGATATTTGAGTACTTAATGAAATCTCATTGATGTTCAGGGTTTTTATGGAAAAATACGTCTCTTTTTGCTAGTGTAAACTAAATTCTTCATAATTATTTTATTAAGCTATGAGAGAAGACCTTGATATTGCCACAAAATGGAATTTGGGTAAACTCCCAAGGAAAAGTGTTCAGACAGATCCTGAGAAAGAAGATTCATGTTATCAAAAATTAACTGTAAAAGAGACTTTTAAAAGTCTCTCACTTTAAGTCTGAGACAGTCGGAGGAAATCTTTCTCAGACTTAAAAACATTTGTACATTAAATTATGATAAAATATTGAATGGAATATTTTAAAATTCATCTTAGAGATCCTCCCTTATAGATACGTAGAATTAAATCTCCCTCAAAAGAGGCATTATCCTAACTCCCAGTACCTCAGAATGTGACCTAATTTAGAAATTGTGTTGTTGCAGATACAATTAGTTTCACTAAGATTAGGTCATACTGGAGTAGGGTGGGTCCCTAATCCAAGAGGACTGGTGTTTTTATAAGAGAGAAATTTGGACAGGGATGTGCATAGAGGTAAGATGATATAAAGATACACAGGGAGAAGACTGCCATGTGACATTGTGAGAGGGAGCAGAGACCCCTCTTAGGGGACTGCCAGTCTCCCCTAGCCCCCCAGCATGGAGTTAAAGAAAAATTTTGAGTTCCTTCTAGGGAGATTTCAGCATCTAGCTAGACCTGCAACCAGCAATTTGAAAACTAAATATAAATAATCCACTAATTTAAAAGGTAATAATAGCTTAAACAATTGTCATTCAAGTAAGTTAGAGTCACAAGATGTTTGGTTCCTTATAGAAACTAAAGATAGCATCTCATATCCTTGAGTTGTTATTCAGAAACCTTGACCCTCACCAGATGAAAAATACCAACCACTGTCATGTAGACCTCAGATAAGGCGGAACTAAGAAGTGAACGCTGAGTACTGTCCTTATTCTAAATTTCTTCCTTGAAAGCCTGTAGAGAGTCATACCCAAAGGCTAGATCTTAACACTCCTTTCTTCTGACCCCAAGTTTTTAGACAAAATGTTGCTTCCTTAACCAACTGTAAATCAAAGAGTCTCAGAATCCACCTGTTTGTGAGCCTCTACTTAAAGATACTCCCACCTCCTTGGACCAAACCAATGTATAACCTCCATATATTGATTTATGATTTTGCCTGTTACTTCTCTTTTCCTGAAATGTACCGCTACCTTTTATAGTGTGCCCTTACTCGTAAGCCACTGGGGAGTTTGGGTCTTAAGTGTGAGTTGCCTGATTCTCCTTGCTTGTCATCCGGCAATAAATGGCTCACTTTCTCTCACTGAAAGTCCTGGGGTGTGTGTGTGTGCGTGTGTGTGTGTGTGTTTTGCACACTGGGTGAGCTGACTCAAGTTTAGTTTAGTAACAATTGGAGGCAGATATTAGAATGATGATCTATAAGTCAAGGAATGCCACAGATTTCTGGCTGTCACCAGAAGCTAGGAAAGAGGCATGGAACAGATCTTCCCTCAGAGCCCTAAGAAGGAACCAACTCTGCCAGCTCTTTGATTTTGGACTTCCAGCCTCCACAATTGTAAGAGAATAAATTTATGTTCTTTTAAGTCATCTAGTTTGTGGTAGTTTGTTGGACTAGCCCTAGAAAACCAAGATGGATGGAAATTGATAGATGATAGATAGATAGATAGATAGATAGATAGATAGATAGATAGATAGAT